AAAATAAAAAAAAAACAAAGACCAAAGACATTTTACATAGATAAAGCTCTTCGTAATGTGTCAACTGTACTTGTGAGTAGAATTTTGTGTATTTCTTTAAGGCATGGGCTACTAGGAATCCCTTCATTGAATCTATCGGACCCTTTTCCAATCAATCCTAGGGCTCAAATTACAACTGAAATTATTGATGTCCTGATCGTTAATCAGGATGTTTGGGCGATTAGTTTAGATTGCTCTATCTGCGTGCATTGTAAAGTCCTATAAAATTGTTACAGTCCTATCTCTGTAACCATGTATAGGTGATGTTCATATCAGTTTCTTGTAGTTTCCTTCCCGTAAAAGTGGCATATTTTCCAGTGCAGATATTGTCCTACTGTATCATGACGAGCTTTACATTCAGTGGTTGCTAACACTGTACAAACTGATACAAGATGGTCAGTTGTTTCTGGATATTTATCACAGAATCTGCATTTTGGGCTGACACAATTTTTCAGTATTTGTGCTTTGTAATTTCTAGTTAGTAAGCAATGGTACTGTGCAGCGAGAATAAATCCTTCGGTTTCAGCTTTTAACCCTGCATTACGTAGCCACTGATTGGTACGGGTTTGTCTACATCAGCTTGTTTGGTACGGGCAGAGTACTGACCATTATTTTATATTATGTTTATTTTATATTATATATATTATGTACATATTATGTTGTTATTGTTATTATTATTTAATACCTAGTAGACTTAAAAAATTCTTCTTCTTCTTCTTCTTCTGCAGGAGTTCTTATAGTTCCCTTTCGGTGCCTGCTATCAATACTGTGTTATCTGCATCTTGATCTCAATTTTCTAGAGTATTTTTCTTCTAGTTTGTGCTGATACAAATTGTTTACGCAGTCGAAATCAACTCCTTGCACAGTTCTCAGTGGATCACTCTTCCTACTCTGACATTTCCGTGTTTTTGAGCTCGTTTGCTGCATTCACATGACATAGATTTTTTTGACCCAGCTGGGGTTGTTTGCGTTCCTTTCGTATTAAAACTCGTTAAAAAGTTACAAATTCACTTTTCTTCTTCTCTCTAGTCTCCCAGGTGTGTTAAAAATATAGTAGACTGTGTTACACTCAAATTCTACTATCAACTGAAGACAAATGACACCATGACTCATCGGACAAACACATGTTGCTAGTGTCCGGTGACATAGCGTTAACAGGAGCACGTTGATGGATTTCCTACTCTCACATCCCACGGAAGATAAAGAACACAGAATCAAACGGTTGGAATGGGTCTTGCGCCTCCTGCAATGAATTTGATTTATGACAGAAAATTCAAATGTTCTCAAAATTTTAGAAATGGAAAATTAAATCTCTCTCGCTACCACAATCCTGTCCTGTTCGAACTCCGATAATTCACGGCACCCTGCTTAGGTAATGTTCCCACTGATTCACTAGATGTCAGAACAAAACGGGTATGGATCTGGGCATTTTCTTGACGTCGAGATACGGTGAGGCGACCAACCATTAACTTTGCATACTGCTAATCAAAGACTTGACACGTCAGTGCAGATAGATAGATAAATATGAACAGAACTACATAGACTGACACAAAAATGTAAACAGTCTACATAGGTAGACAAATGGGGACAGAGGTAACTAGCTACCTAGATGGGAACAGACATAACTATACTGACAAATGTAAACAAACTTAGGTAGATAGATATAAATATATACATACCCACTTTAACACCTGCGTATATATAAGTATATAAGTTCACTAAGATAGAATCAATACTGAATCTTCTAGGCGGATAAATAGGAACATAGATAGATAAATATGAACTGGGACAGATATATATATATATATATCGATAGATAGATAGATAGTGTGGTTGATTGAGAGGCAGCATCAAGTCAATACTTTTACTTTTCTCATTAATTCCTTCAAATTTAAGTAACTTCGACGGACGTCAATCAAATTTCTTCGGGACGTTTAAGTAATGAATTAGATTCAAATAATTGCATTATTAACTGTGTACTGGGGTGTTTATTTTGTGAGAAGGAGATACACGGGACCAAACTAATTCTCCTGTTTCCATGACTTAAAATAATATGACGTGTAAAAACGCGATAAAATCAGATTGTGTTTGAGCACCTGGTCTGACTGTAAACATTTCATTGTGTCCATTGTAATTGAATAACCATTTTTTTTTTTTAACTTTTTCTTTTTTATTCCCATCATTAAAATGCTTATCTGATCCTTCCGGCAAATTTCTGTTCCGTTTACCCAAGCACGAATTCGATCCCCGCCCCTCTTCATAATGCAGTCACGTCTTCTTTCGCACCTTCTCTCAGCTGGAATAATTAGCGGGCGAAGTTCCGGTGTTGTTTGCCAAGGTGGAGTAACCTGAAAGAACACGCTCGTGCACCAGTCCTACACACGCAAACACACACAAATTCGCGCGAGCACACATGAACCCCCACACAAGCGAACACTTATACACATACACGCACGCAAACACACACCCACGCAAACACGCACACATATATTTACCCAATATAATCTGTCTATTGATACATCACTTGATGAATTACTGTCAGTTCACACCGTGAAGAACCCAGAATGGTACCCCAAGAATTTCCTAGGTCATAGGATTATTTGATTTTAACTTTATTTGGTTTTTACTTACATGTTTCACAGCTCATTTACTGCCCCACCATTGCCTTCGTAAATAAGTATATTTAGGATAGTACAACAGAGATTATTGCAAACTGCTTTCGCAAACGAATTTTCTATTGTAGTAAGGTTGTTCCTTTTGGGTTGCTTGATAACCTTACCTTATGCCAGACAATATCAAGCTTTATAAACAAATACCATTTGGGACATTTCTACAAAGTTATGATTGTAAACTACTTTCGCAGGGGTAAATTACAAAGACAAACTTATTGTAATTACGATAAAACCTGCATTCCTTTGTCATGGTGATTTTTAAAAAACGCGTGAACTTGCTCTGTTATAATTATTTTAAAATTTTAAATTTATCCGATGATCTTGGAAAAGATCGAAAGCACTTGGGTTAGAAAAAAAAACTACGACGCCGTCCTTGATGAATTTCAACTTAATATCAAGTAACTGAATATACAACTATAAAGGATCACTATAAAAATAAATAGATACAATTTGTCTATATTTTTCAATGAAGCCTGTTTGAATGAAGATATGCTGCCCAAATACAGGAACATACACACACACACACACAACACACACACACACACACACACACACATATATATATATATATATATATATATATATATATATGTGTGTGTGTATGTATGTGTGTGCGTTCATATCAGTCTCTTCCGTTTTGATTTTATCTATTTATAAAGGCAGACGGCTCAACATATCCAATCAGAATCATCTGCAACGATCTACTTTAAACGGTGTGGACAAATGTTGTATGCAAAGATCCGTTTTTCCAGCCATCAACGGAATAGACTCGTGGAGGGAGAAAGGATGAACTGAGAATGGGAATGAAATACTCGGAAATCAACAACCGACATCATAAACTCTCATGACTCATTAATTTGCTCCAATTGTCTGTGTTCATGCCAGTCTCTTCCAGTCTGTTTTTATCTATTTACAAATTGTCATGGCACACAATTTGATCCCATTTCCGATGACACTGGGTCCAGTTCGCACACACAAAAAATACATCTGCTGTCTTATAGCTTTAAAACAAGACAATTTAGAAATATATATTCACGTAATATAGACAAATATATTAAAAATAAGGTGGGATGAAGAGCAAAGGTAAAAAAGATATATTACTCACCGTAAAATGACGAATCGAAAAATATGACAAAAAAAAAAAAAAAGAAAAGAAAAAAAGACAAAGAACATAATTGAATATATATTTTAAAATGTACGTTTTTATAGCATAAATAAAATTTTGTAGCCCCACATATTTGTTTTCTTGCATGTTCTCGGTTTCTGAGTTGGCCCCAGAATCACGATAAAAACATCAATTGTTGACTGATCACCAAAGTTAAGCAGTGTCAAAGTTGATCCGTACTTAAAGCGGGATCATTTACCAATATCAGCCACTGTGAACGATTTTTTCAAAGTTGATTCTTACTTAAAGTGGGACCATTAAGAATATCAGCCGCTGTGGGTGTTTTGTTAAACTTGATCCTTAGGAATATCATCTATTATGTTAGAATTATGCCTACGTGGAAAAAAAGGTTAGTAGAAATAACTCTCAGTTTGCGACTGTGTTTCCTTTGAAGATTCTCTCGAATTGCACAGGTACATTGTAGGACAAAAACAAAGTTGACCGTTGAAACAATTTCGTAGAAGGAATAAAAAAATAGGTCACTTATCCCAGAATTTGTTGCTCTTCACTTTCCTTCATAAAGCGTAAGCCGATTTTAGTGTCAGCTTTTTAATGAAGGAAGAAAAGAAAGGAAAGAAAATGAAATCTTGGAAGAATAGACTAGATTAATAGCGATTAACCTTTTAACTGAGTCTTGCCATCTGTCGCATGCAGTAGCTACGATGTCATAGTATAAATCCTGTAGATTATTGAGATTTGTAATTTGTGAGCAAAAGACTGGGTCTAGAGGCAAAGATGTATGAAAGAAGAGACATCTTCTTCTTCTTCTTCTTCTTCTTCTTCTTCTTCTTAACGTGAGATGTGCTATAAAAGTAAATCATTTGTCGCCTGCAAGTTACATTGGCTGACAGTTTGATTAATAAATAATGCGCACGGACATAGACATAGATAGATTATGATCAAACTGAAATAGATAAATAAATGAACAAACTGCATATATATATATATATATATATATATATATATATATATATATATATATATAGAGAGAGAGAGAGAGAGAGAGATGTAGATAGATATATAAATATATATATTTTAAACAGAATGAGATTGATAATGAACTGACTGAGATAGATTATGAACAGGTAGATATATAGAGGGGGGTAGATATGAAGAAACAGAAATTAATAGATAGATAAATATATGAGAACAGACCGAGATATGAACAGCCTTCGATAGATACGAACAGACTGAGATAGATAGATAGATAGATAATGAACAGACTGCTATAGATAGATAGATATAAACAGATATAGATAAATAGACAAATAGATATGAACAAAATGATATAGATAGATAAGTTTCCTTATGTTTTCTGTTTTTGTTTTATTATTTTTATTATTATGTATCCCACATTGTTATAATACAAGATCTGCTAAGTTCAGTTCATCTTGTGGGTGTTTTAGCCCTGATAAGATACAAGCCTTGGAAGATTGGCACAAAACATTCTTTTTGGCTTTTATTTTCTTTATTTAGCTGTATAAAAGAGTAAACTCTATATATTTAGATCCATTAATAATTTCATCGTCTTATGATAAAAAGCATTTTATTGAAACAAAATTTTGCAACATAATCTCCTTCCCTGTTAATGCACTTAATTCAGTGACAAATATTACATCGATCGCATGTTACAGGATGAATATTCATTTTGTTGACACTGGCGCAAATGGGAATCGAAACATTGCGTGGGGCAGAAGCTGACCAGTCAATGAAAACCGCCCGAATACCCCTGTTCAAAATTAGGCTTACAATCAAGATCTGTATATATATATGTATCTCTCTCTTAGTTTCCAATTACTGTATCTCTCCTGAGTAAATAACTAACTTCCACTGGTGTAATTAATTGGAGAGCAGTTAAAAGCCAAAATTTCGAATGTAGATTTTCAAGGCATATCTTTTCCTTTTGAAGAAAAAACGACACAGTCATCTGGGCATTTTCTTGACGTCGAGATACGGTGGTGCGACCAACCATTAACTTTGCATACTGCTAATCAACGACTTTTGACACATCAGTGTAGATAGATAAATATGAAATTATTTTGCTAGCTATTGTTCCAAAGCAAGGTGCCTGTTTGCGGTTTCTTCTTTGTAAAACCACATCTCTGTTATCTCTGTTGTCTCCATTCTCCTTTTTATCTATGAGGAAATTATCCAGTATACCCTACCATATAGGAAGATTAATATTACATAACAGCTAAACACCCCATTTTTTGTTTATAACGAAATTTTCCCGCTTATTAATACTTTGTTTAATTTTTTGGAACACATTTTTTGCTATTGCAATCCACCGTTGAGTTTCAGTGTCACATTTTACGCTGTTTGTTAAAACACATCGCATGTACTTAATGATTTTGACATCTCCAATTTGTAGCTTGCATGTTGGTGTTCTTGTGGATAGCTATTATAAAATTTGTCCAGAAGAAACGTAAGTGTTTGTTTCAGGAAGGGAAAAAAATTTAAAAAGAAAAATTAACAATAAGAATTGCTTTTCGTTCAAAAATGTGAACCTATCAAGAAAAACCTTTGAAAAAAACAAAAGAACAAAAAAAAAGGGAGAACTATTATGTAATTACTTTTAAAAACAAACAAAAAATAACGACCTACTACCTAATGAATTTTAAAAACAAACAAAAATGAGAAACTATCAATGAATGACCTTTAAAAACAAACAAAATACGAAAAAAAAAAACAAGAAACAACCTAAGAACCTTTGTATTTACTTACACCAAAACCGAGAGCGAAGATTACTAGAATGTATATGCCATATTTACCCTCCAGACAACTCTTAGCCATTGCTATTGTCACACACACACACACACACACATTGAAAATAATAATTCTAAGAAGATAAGAACATATAAAAAGGTCTCGCAATATGACGTCAGTGGCCGTGGACTGCGTCCTGTACGATCAAAAGATTTGCCAGTTGGGATTATCCTAATCTCGCAAGTAAGGCAGGAGTGTCCGCGAGTTGGGACCAGTATTTTGAGATACGTCAACACCTTTCTTTTCTTCTCTCGTCACATAATCTGGTTTATGTCAGGGCGGAGTCCACATTCTTACACTAGTGTTAATTTAATACATTGGTTGAAGAAAGAAAGAAAATCTGAACTTTTGAGAACGACTCAATCCTTCGTCTCATCAATTACACTCGTTAATACCTATGTTCACGATAATATATACATGAATAGATCAATATTCCCATATTTTGAGAGAGAACCAATAAAGTCGGGTGATATCGTCGGATGTTTTGAATTAATTGATTGATTGATTTTTACGCGTTATCAACTCTTTTCAGTTTAATTAAAGGCAGAAAATATTTTAGGTTGTAAGAATTTTTGGGAAATAATAATGATTTACTGATCCAAGTTCTACTAATTGACCCATAGCTGGAGATAAGAGGTGGTTTCATACCTTTCCCAAGAGTATTTGCGCTTAAGTGAATATAACGAACCCGACTGAAATTGAGCGATTATCCATTACATCACGCGCACATCCAAACTTACAGCACTTGGTATTCTCAAGCGTTCACCCATCTAGTTACTGACCAGGCTCGACGTTGCTTAACATTAGTGATCATATGAGAACCAGTGTTTCAGCGCGACATGCTCGTAAGTCTTGGATATTGCTGGGGTGTCATGAATTACGGGTAATACTATTTAAGCTCCTGGGTTAGGGTTAGGGTTAAACCTTGCTTGAGTTCAAGTTCATCGGTTGATAAAAACTTTTTGGGGGTCTCTACTAAGTACTTTCGCACCATGACATCATGTTTGTGGGGGAACCAGTCGCAGAAGAATTGGTGTTCTTGCAAGATATCCTGACGGAGCCCAACCTTTTCCAGGCCGGTTTGAATTCAGAGTTACCTTCTCCTAGACCAGTTGCCACCCGAGGCTATAAAACCCAGTCTGTCCTTCTATCTGCCCATAGCTGGAGGAGGGGTGAAGAAGACGATTCACACCTTTCCCAGGAACGTAAGTGAATGTAATGGAAGTTGAACTCCGATTCCTCAATTCGAGCCGTCATCCATTACTCCACCGTGCCTCCACCATTAGATAAAATTAAATTGAGTCGGTACAATATTTCATAGCGTTTTTAAATTAATTTCAAGGACAGTTTTGAGATATTTTTACAGAGATATGTTTACTATTTATTTGCTATTTCGTTCGAATAATTTCGGCTCCTTTGAAACAGCTTCATGATTCCATATTCCCAGAAGATGGCATCTCTTCCGGTGAAGAATTGGTCGATGTTGATTTTACAGGTTTTCAGAGAATTTTCTTCCTACTTAAATAATTTTGTAGGAATCAAAAAAATGGTAATTCGAAAGTGAGTTGAGTACAGTTGGTGTAGTAGGAGATTCCATCCAAGTGGTATCCATTTCTGCAAAGAGACGTGAGGTCTGGCGTTCTCCAGATGATAAGGACACTCTTGCGATTGGCTAATTCCAGAAGTTTATCATCGATTGCTGCCTTTACTCGGTCCATTTGAGAATAGTACTTTTCTGATTTTTTTGAAATTGCGAGTGATATACTACTTTGGATACCCAGCCATGGCACAAGACGGTGTGGTCGCCCAGCAATCACCTACATTGACTATATTATGACAGAAAATGTCACCCTAATGAACTTCCAAACTTGATACTTGACTTTGATAGACTCATGAATGTCCGACCTAGCTCGACTGAATAAATAAAATTTTTAATCAATTTCGATTTGGGGATCATCAACGACTGCAGGCCTGCCGGAACAGTTCTCTGTTTTCCAATTCAAAATTTCTATTTCTGAAGTTAGCGAACCACATACGAATATACTTTTAGATACGATACCATCTGTATAAACGGCACGTATGCTTTTTGTTATTTGTTTATAAAAATAAAAGCAAAATAAAATAGTGAAATTTCTATCATTTTCAAGTTAACGGGAAAAAATTTAAAATTCACAAGACACACAAGAATCGTATAGAAAGATTAGTTGAAAAGTTACTTTTCAGAATACGGACATGCGTAATAAATTTCAGTCACGTGTAAAACGAAATCACGTCTCCAAACGCTACCTATTGAATAACGTTATGGACTTTTGCTAACATTCAGCCTCATTTTGTCTGATTACCGCCATGATCATTTAGCAGTTAACTTATTATCTCGACAAGTTAGTTATCAGCTTATTTCAACCATAATTACTTAACTGTTGTCTTATTACCAATATGAATATAAAGTTGTTGAATGATTACTTCCAATTTATTGTTGGGGTATTATCATCATGTCGTTAGCTTAATACCTACATATCAACTTTGTCGATTCCACAAAGCAGCGGTTCGTGGAAAAGAGATTCTCGAGTGGAACTTAGATCTCACCAATGGTAGACGAACGAAATAAGGTTAGTTCGCTATAATGTGCATACCGTGGCCGGCCTTAGCCATGACGGTCAGAACTGGTGGAACTAAGGAATGTAGTTCGTCGGAATACTATCCATGAAAATAGCGATAGAACAATGAGACGCTTGCGACATTTTGTCTTTGAGAAAGGAGTTATAAGAGGAAATAATCTGTCACCCACAAGGACGCGGACACGCTATTGAATTCTCTCGAGACTGGAAAGTGAAGGCTGGGTAGCTGCCCATATATGGCAACAATACTCCAGTGGAGTGGTACAGGAGCCAACCTTTTTTCCAGTATCTTTAGCGATGTGTCCACTTAAGGTATGGGTTTATTTTAAATCCCTATAGGTGCTCAAAGCACATAGCTTTGTGATTGATGATAATTTAAAGTTCGATTGGCAATGATGGGATGTCACTAGTTCGATGCATCGAATGTAACCAGCCAGTCCCCACGCACTGCGCTGTTAGAGCTAGTTCAAAGGAGAGATCATTTGCCAAACTAGAGTTTTGGAGGTGCACTCGTATACTGTTGTATCATCAGCATATATATTCACAAATGATCTAAGCATATTCTTAGGAAGATCATTTATGTAAATTAGAAAGAGAATTTGTCCGAGAAGAAACTCCTCAGGGTCGACTGCATTGATTGTTGGGGCCTCCGAGAAATGGGCATTAACAACCACCTTCAGGGACCTATCCGTTAGGAAATACTTTGCAACTGAGAAGAGTCTTTCAGTGATTCTATAACTTGTAATATTATGCAGCAGTCCCTTCTGCCACACATTGTCAAAGTACTATGAAATATCTAATGTGATCGTTCTTGAGATGTATTTGTCGATGAGTGCCTTACTGATCCTGCGAGTAATGACAGGAAATCATTAGTGGATCGGGCTGATCGAAACCCGTAATGCTTGTCCCTCAAGAGATTTTTCCTATTTAGGTGATGAAAAACTTTCTTGTTGATTATAGCTTCAAAATATTAGGTAATTTAACCGATGAGACTGATGAGTCTATACTGAGACTGTAGTGAGTGGGTGAGCGCTCACCCGCGTTCTTGAAAACTGAGTATATATTTGACACCTTCCACAGGCTTGGGAAGGATTTCTTCTTCAGGCAGTGGTTAAATAATTTCGCTAAGAACGGGGATAATTCCGAGTTAATCTTCTTAGGGGCAGCCATTGGAATTTTGTTTTGACCAGGGGCCCTCTTAGGATCAAGGATAAGTCTTGAAATTTCCCGGGCTATAAGGAAAATATTACTGTGATTGTATCATCAACATAGATATTCACAAATGATCTGGGTATGTTCTCAAGCAGATCATTTATGTAAGTGAGTGAAGAGAAGTCGGAAAGGAGATGGCCTATGTCATCTAATGTTGAGTTACATGCAAAGATCGAAGCGAAGAACTTTGCCTTATCTGACTTAGTTCACACTGACACTTTGCTTCTATTCAGAATTTGGTTGGAGATCTTCCAAAAATCCTGGGATCCAATTTGTTTGTTTTCAAACTTGGCTTGGCCCGCTTGAGCATAGTTACATTTCGAATTTTCTAGTACTTTCTTTCAGTGATTGCGGTCAATTCTGAATGAAGCAATAGATATTGTAGCAGTGGTTACGGGGAGCGATGGTTGCAGCACATTCATAGGTGACCAGGGCTGGTTGTTCGTTATCTGCTGGATGCCTTTGGTTTGGCATTAACTGACTAGTAAATTGTTTGGTATGTTAAGGGGGTGGGTAAAACTTTTCATTTTTCAGGGCAGAGTGTGAAGAAGAGGTCAAGGAGGTGCGCCTGATGTCCTGTTGTACAAGGAACACGGATGGGTTCTTCAATGATTCATTTTTTTTTACAGTGATGTCCATCCTGTACAAGGCTCTAGATGTACTCGAGGTAGAGGATTACAGAGTAAAAGGCGCAGTTTATGGGAATATGTAGGTAAGATAACGGTTAATCCTAAACTTGAACAGGTTAATACAGGTTGCTACAATGTACGTAAGGGTTAGATAGAAATTGTATAACTAAGGAATGTCATTCGTCTGAGCATTTCCCATGGGAATAGCGATAGATCAGTGAGACGCTTGCGACGTTTCGTCTGTAAGAAAAGGGTTGTAGGGTGGAAAATAATTTGTCACCCACAAGGACGCGGAGACGCTTCTGGAAAGTGAAGACTGGGCAGCTCCTGCCCTTATATGGTATCAATACTCCATACCTGATCTTGTTATTGTAAAGGTAGACGATATCCAGAGGAGTTAGGGACTTACCGGACCCGTACAAGGAACCGATCATTTTTCCAACATCCTGAGTGATGGATCGTAAGTACATCTACTTCCCTCATGAGTGGTGAATATTGTTGTCAACACAGATATGAAAGCTAACCGAGGTAAATTAAGTAATGATATTATTCATGCTCTACAATATTAGGTCAAGCATTACTGTCCCATCGTCTTGAAGACGATAGAGATTGAAAAATGAACGAGGTACTGTGTTACGCGGAAGCACTTTAGATCCATTCCTAAGGATGTTGGTAAAGTATTCGGTTTCTTGTACACAGCTCCAGGAAGTACCAGATTTTCTCCTGCCATGGTTTAGACCAAAATGGATTATTACTGCCTTATCATGACTGGAGATTCCCAATTCTCCCTTTCCTTAGCGTTGGAGTTCAATAGCATTTACCCGGACTTGTAGCGGAGTAACTTATTTTCCATTTTGCAGCCTCTTTCCCCACAGGCGCAGCGTTGCAAGCCTATCACTACTCTATCGTTGTTTCATTGGCAAATGTTCAGATGAGCGCTCCATTCTTTAGTTTCACTAGTTCAGACCTTTACAGCTAAGACCGGCCATGCGACCCCCGCAGAGTTGAATCATGCTCATTCTCTTCGTATTCCATTTGTCAGAAGAACGTCCCCTACACAGTTTCTTCCCAAGAATCTCAAATCTTTGGAACCGACTCCCTTGCATATGCTTTTTCGAACTCTGCAATCTTAACATGAAGACGTTAAGTCAAAATTGAATCGTTATCTCTCCTCCTTATCCTCATAATCTTCACTTCCTAATTTCTTCTCTTATGTCCATCGAACTCACTTTATTCAGTAGCCCTCTATCTTGAGTGACGTTTAGGCCATTTATTGAGTGAACATTAGTAAAAAAAAAGGAAGAAATATAGTACCAAGCGGATTCTTTTAGTTTTTTTTTATTCATTTTTCTTTTAAATAAAAAAGCAGCAAATGTTTTCCATGTGGTATTTTATTTTTTATTACCATTGTATTTATGAATTTTATTACAACCTTTTTTTTTGACTGTCTTGAACGCAGTCATATTTATTCATATATTTTTTTTATTTAAAAATATTCTTACGAACTGAACAAAAGAACAGCACAATTTTTCCTTTGTATTTCTGGGAAAATATCCAAAAAATCGGAAACGTCCAAAGCAGAAGAGTTGCCAACCATCAATCAGTCGTGTCATCAAGTGCAATCTTTTTTTTTTGTCTAACAAAATAGTTTTGATTTCAGTCCAGAAAAAAATTTAGGAATACTTTCCCTTTCTCTCAATCATTAGCTTTTCTTATCTTTTATATCTACGACGCCTTTCTTTCTTATTAGTTTTCTCTCTTAGCTATTTCTATATTTTCGTTATGTTTCTTTCTTTTCCTCGTCTCGTCTCGTGTCTTTCTTCTAATTATCTCATTTTTCTAGATTTTTTGTTTTGCTTTCTAATTCTGGGATTGGAAACATTGTTTAGCAAAATATCCGACAACTGCATTACATGTAACGATTTATCTTTAAAAATCGATTCAATCACCATCGATTATAAGATCAGAGTTTATCGCTCATAATTAATGTCTATTTCTCTTTCCATCTGTCATTAATTGAAACTTACCAACTTATTTAGGATAACTTTTCACAGAAAGATCCTACAAAGCTTTATTTTTATTCACGTCACCTCTAGTTTATATATATACATATATTTTCAGACATCTGTAGCAAAAGTTCTGTTTTGTCGTTTCTAGTTCTCGCCAATAACGAGAATGTCATACAAGACTGAAAGAGAAGCATTTTGTCCATAATGCAAATCTGATTAACACGGTTTTCAATTTTTGTTTGATCTCGTAAAAACAAAACCAGGGAAAAGTTTGCATCATGTTTTCCAAGTTGTCATGGAGTTTCTGATCAGTTTGTGATATAAATGACAACTAAATCCATCTTGCATTTTATTTGCCTCGTGTGTGTGTGTGTGTGTGTGTGTGTGTGTGTGTGTGTATATATAAAATTTCTAAGGATTTTTCTATCCGACATTATTACCTACTACACCAAATGCTATTTTTTGGATACCCATGTTTCTCGAATGCACATGCCGGTTGATGCCATTCGAACTGCTTAAAAAATAACAAAAATAAAACAGGGCGTCTACTAACACATGGGTATCGATAAAGTTGGATATATATATATATATATATATATATATATATATATATATATGTCTGCCCGTCTGACTTCCTATATATCTATCCTATGAGCACCCGCGTAAAAAGTGCATATATATCCACAGTGCTTGTTGAACAATTACACATACATACACATATATATATATCATTCTGATGACAAAATTGGCCTGAGACGGCAATTGTTACTGATTTATTCGATTTTTAGCAAAAATACATAAACAGTTAGGGTTTGAAAATAATACTATCACAAGACGATCGACGAACCCGTTCTGTATCTCCGCCATCCTTATTGTGGCCTGATTTTCCAAACATGGCTCCGAGCCTTCGTGATACAGACATTAATGAACTCTTTCGTCTTTTCAGGAGTGCACTGCGGTGTTGTTGCACAATTCGCGCTTCTCGCAACAAAGACTGGAATGCTACGCTGATGCTGACGTAGTTGTCAGCCGCTGACACTTCGTAATACATACATCCGTACTCAAGTGCCACCTGGTGACCGTCGTCGACACCTACTTGTCGTCGGTGTTCAAGATCCGTTTTGTTTCCAAGCAAAAGAACTGGTACGTAGACTGGAGAACGTCTTTTGTGTACATGGTCCACCAACAGTTTAGCCCAGTGGAATGTTTGCCGCTCACAGATGTTGTAGACAATTATGAATGCATCTGCCCAGCTAAGTTGGTTGTCGGTCGGTGATAACGGTTCACTCTGCAAAACACCAAAATGTAGTTTTGAAAAATCAAAATTGTTAATTTTGTTTTTAAACTGCATAAATTACAATGGGTGAGCAGAAATTTTAAAATCTACGTTTGAAATAATATTTCTGCTCACTCATTATGTAATTTTGTAGTATCTAATTCACATTATAGAATACTAGAGGTAAGACTCAAATTTAATGTTTATCAAAAATTTGGTCTAATAAGAGTTGATCTGTGGTCACTCCAAGTATGTATAGAGTTACTCCAAAGTTAGTTTTGTAGTTGGTGTCACTTCAGAAAGTCAAAAGATCTAGATGCCCTGAGAGTTGACGCAACTGAAGAAATCGAGCTTCGAAAAATAATTATGTATAGAGTTACTCCTAAGGAATACCAAAGTAAGTTTCATTTTAGAAGGTAGTTATATAAACGCCCAACTTACTGGGGGGGGGGTTAATGAGAATACTTCACCTCTTCGTAAGAAGAAGATCGAACATTCGAAGAAAGTTTCATAGCCTCGATTTAGCCTACGTTAATTTGATGGATGCAAGAAGTGAATAAGCAACTTTCTTTTTACGTATGGAAAATTTAGTTTTAGTTCTTACAATTAGTTTAAGAAAATTGTATTTTATTATGCACTTATTACCATCATCGTTAGTAGTAACAAAGGACTCTTAGACAAGATAGTAATGGAACGCAAGAAGAAAGGTCTAACAACTAATTATAAGAAAGCAGAATGCACAGTCGTCAAAAAAATAAAAAATAAAAATAGCCCTAAGATATGGGCTGCGTACTTGGATTGTCTAAGTCAAATCGGTACAGGAATTTATCTGTGTAGTGCATAAAGAGATGATGGAAAATGTGGCACAGAAATCCGAAGGCGCACAGAAATAGTGAAAGATACCAAACAGAAACTAAGCAAAGTTTAAAGAAGTAGGAAAATATCGTTAGAAACAAAGAAAAGAGTGTTGGAATGCTATGATTTTCTTTATGGCAATGTTTGCTAGACAATATCCTTATATATGAAAAATAGATTCGAATACCGTGGACATATGTATGAGCATCAAGGAAATCTTAAAGAAAATATGTATAACAAGGAAACTTATATTTACAAACAGAAAGAGACATGAAATTTCCTGAACATCTAATGAGGAAAGAAGGAGAGTTGAATATTCGCAAAACATCGTGAAGGCAAGAGAAGCATTAGGAAAAAACGATTTGTGGTGAACTGTCAAAAGTTAAATAAAGAAAATGACGTTGTGGATAATCAGGGCCGTCTACTTCTTGAAAAAATATTTGACGCATAAAAGATTCTAAATCTCAAACGGCAACGATTGATCTAATTTATGCATATTTATGCATTGGATGCATATTTATGTATTGGATGTATATTTATGCATTGGGTGCAATGGACAGCTGTTCGGAATGAGAAATCGGAGAGCAGAGTTCGAATTCTAATCGAGTTCGTTACCTTCAATTACACACAAATACCGCTGGAAAACGTATGAATACATCTCTTCTACTCTTATCTATAGGACCTATAGCCTTGGTTGGTAACCTGTCTAGTGGAAGGAAAATCTAGATGGAAAGAAGCCTGGTGATGTTCGTGTTCCGTAGTACATTTGGTATCTCTACAACCTTAATGAGTTATATGATTCTAGCTATAAGAGTCCTTTTTGCTTCAATTTTATCTAAAACTTCGTCATTGCCCACAAGTTCAGTCCATGGTATTCTCAGCATTATTCTGTAGAACCACATCTGTTGATTCAAATCGTTTCTTCATCTGTGATGAGATTGTCCAACATTCACTGCCATATAGAACCGATATTACGTAACAGTTCAGTAGTCTTTGTTTCTAACAAAATTTTCCAGTTTCTTAATATTTTGCTTAACGTTAACATCTTTCGCTATCCCAATGCGCTTACTGGTTTCCGTCCTCTGTTAAAACTTAACTCCAGATATTTAAATTTTTGTACTTGTTTGATTTTGATCTCGCCAGTTCGTAGTTCAAATCTTGAGTTGTTATTTTTGTTAAAAACCATTCGTTGTATCTTTTAGTCCTTTCTCTCACTTTCCTTTGCTACCTTCTAGAGGAGTACCTGTAGTTTATTTCCTGTGTCTGCTCTCAACACTATATAATCTGCATGTCTTATATTAAGATTGTGGCCACCGGTAATGAATCTTAGTAGGACTTATAATTCTCTCAGAATTGATTCACTGTAAAGGTTGAAGACACACCCTTGTCTTAAAATGGGCGTAAATATCTAACTACATAGTCTAATTAAGAGGATATGATGAAAGTAGAATCAGCAAGCAGAATTCCAATTTCAACCTAGTCAGTTGCGTTCAATTTACCATTGATTTATCTGGGGAACTTCTCTTCTCCCCAATTACAGGTTAAATATCAGTGTAGACTAGTTTATCCAGCTTTGAATGGTAACCAATCTAAAAGAAGGTAATATTGGAATTCCAAGCCGTAGAGTAGGCAGCGGGAAACCACTAATCTTTTCCCCATAAAGAGATGGTAATTCGCAGGATATAAGAAAAGATACATAATTGCCTACATCCTGAAGGAGCAAGGCCTTCAAGAATGTGTTAAATAGCAGGATAAATGGGGCTCTTTAACACTGGATGGCAACCAGTCTAAAAGAAGGAAAACTGAATTGCAAACCGTGGAGAAGGCTAACTACGCCACCATCTTTTCCCAAAGGATTAATGACAATTCAGAGATAAAGAAAAGGAATCCACGGAGAGCTGAAAGGATAAAGCATTCAAGAATGTAAAATTAAGAAACTTGACAATTTAGCGCATGTATCAAGTCAGAGTTTTATTTTAGTCATCACTTGATCTTACGCTTACCTCGCTGAAACCGAATGATCATCCATACTCGAGCCCTAGGGGGCAGGTGCGAATATTAGTGAGGTCGAATTTTCAGATTAACCTTGAGTATAGCGATTAAAAGGCCCTCGCCCCAATCAATGCAACCTACTCGTCCCCCTTATTTATTTTATTTTTTTTAGGCCACCAAGTAGACAGTAAATACAAATCCTGGGCGGTGCGTGCATAGACACAATGATAATGAAAGGAGAGTGAATTTGCGGCTTGAAGCCGGTTACTATTTTTAGATGTTTTTTCTTACGCTCTTGGTGTTTTTTTTTTTTTCATGTCAGCTGTTTTTTTAATCTACCTGCCTACCTACTTATCTATCTATCTATCTTATTGTCCATTTATCTGTTTCACTCACTTTATATATCTTTTTTTTTTTTTAAATCGGTATCACCCCAAGCAAGGCTATACAGTCACTAAGACGCAAGGGGTTAAAGGGATTGGAGGAATTAGGAACAGAAACAGTAGCGAGTAGAAAGAGAAAAGAGCAATCAGGAGGGCAGTAGAAAGCAACTGATATTTATTTAAATTTTTGTAGATTAAAGTTGGCTTGAAAGCATGGAGACAGGAGGGAGTTCCACAAGCAAGAAAAGAAACTTAACATAGTAATTACGGCTACATCTAGCCACCTAAACTGTAAATTGATGAAATCGCACCGCCAGTCTAGTGTTGCGTTTAAATTCATACTGTCTAGGTACCATAGCGAAGAGATCATGCGAACAATTTCCATGAAAGTATTTATAAAAAAGCCACTGAAAGGCAACCTTACAGTGGTGGGCAGGTTTCTGAAATCGAGCCGCCAGATCAGGCCCAATAATATTGCCGATTCTTCTTTGGATCTTATCAAGGAGCTGAGGGTATATTCAGTGTCACCGGATCATATAAGGCAGCAATATTCTAAGCATGGTAGACTTATAGATATATAAGATAGATTCTGGAGAGAAAAATTGTCTTGTACGACAATGAACCGACTTTCTTAGCAGCTGACCTGACAATAGATTCGATATAGTCTTTACACTTTATGTCATCTGAGAATGTTAGTCACTTTCCTGGAGGTTAGCATCAGCCGTGCTGATTGAAGGCAGGGAGAGGTAACTCAGATGATTAATGGAGAGAATTTTAATTTTGGAGGCTTAAAATTGTCAAGCCATCTTTTTCCCCAGTTAACGACGGTCTTGGGGTCGTTTTGTACATCAGCTGCCATTTTGACCATGTCTGACTGACCAGCCTTACTATCGAGGCAGGATTAAATGGTAGTGTCGTCAGCGTAGATACCAAGTTGAGAGCTGATATAATTGAAAATTAAAATCAGCGTAGGTACATCAGCAGTTGACCTGGAGAAACGAAAGTTTTATTTCTTGTGTGAGAAAAGGCCCTGCGATAAGACATGATGAACCAATTCAGCATAGATTAGGGCCTCTCGGAGTTTCCAAAAAAAGAGGGTCTGCTAATAGGTCGATAGTTGGGTGTGTCGGATAGTTCACAAGAGTTCTTAAAAACTGGAACAACAAACAATGAATGAATGAAGTTCTTTCTTTATCAGTTGGTTTACATCTATCTATCTGATGGGAATATTAAAATGAAAAATGCAATAAAAAGAATACATTAATTAGAGAAGCCTTTAATTGTTTTTATAAACAAGATATATTATGGATACTATTAGCTCAAGAAAAACATTTTTTCGATGAACATTCATTTTTTAAAATTTTAATTAGAAGTTTTAAATCTTTTATAATTCTGTATTAATCTGTCCCGGTAAGGTTATATTGTTATGAATTAAAATTTATATTTACTAATCATAAATGGAAGCGCCTATTACAATTCAGCGACCCCAGTATTTTTAAAAGAATTTTGAATTTTATGTGGGCGCATAAACGTACCGATTTTTGTAAATATGGGCATCCATGCACGATACTATCAGAAAATAAGAGCGTCGTAAATTTATAGTAAATTTAAAGCCATGAGTACCTAAAATTCAATAAAACATTAGATTACTTAGACTATTTCCCTAAATTTAAAAAAATTCGGTAGTTAAAAAATTATATATAAAAGACGCTGACGTTATATTCCTCAAGTAATTCTTACGTATATGTCCCACAGAGAAAATTTTCTCAAACATCAGGCTGT